GCAAGCCACATCGCCATTGCTACCATCACTTATTAAATTTGGATGTTCGTGTACAAAGTGGTCCCAAACATTTTCGCCCTTACCTTTTTGAATTTAAGCACACCATAATAAATTAATTATAAAATTGGCGAATACGCCTATATAATATTCCATAAATCTTGCCTATACTTAAGATACTAAAGGCCATTGCACGTAACAAAGTTTTAGTTATAATCGTAAGGCCGTGTAAGAAAATAGACCAATCACAGTCGATTATTCTCTTTGAGCTCAAAGAATAATCGAGTGATTGGTCTATTTTCTTACGGCCTTACGATTATGATTAAAACTTTGTTACGTGCAAAAACCCTAACATCTCTTAATGCTTCAATAATAAAATGACATTGAGCGTTGGATAGAAATTCTTTACGTACCGCCTTCATTCCAAGCTCCTTCTATTTGATAAGCGGATGTAGCAGTGCCAAATAGGAAATCTTTAGGAAATGATAATGTGTCGTCAGCAAAACTATGCGTGACAACAAAAATAAAGCTAAAAGCGACTACGAGATACAAATAGCTTGCCATTGCGAAAACGACTGAGCATAGTATCTCGGCAATTGAGTAAAGATAACTGCATCCTTAATATTTGCCCCTCCTACATACCGTATAACGCCTCAATTTATACACACAAACGTCTACACGATTGTTTGCGATTAATATTTGCTTTCTAAATTTGAATCAGTGAAAAGCAGCATGCTTTAGACTGATATCGGTGAATAATCACAGATAAATTCAGTGATTATTCACTGATATCAGTGTAGGGGAGACCGGGGCACCATGAGCCACAAATATTCAAACTCTGAAAAGTATTTTTAAATATAAGATTTTTTGTCTCATCCCCTACAGCACGAAATATTGCAGCAACATTGCAGCAACATGAAAATATTGCTGCAATGTTGCTGCAATATTTCGTGCTGTAGGGGATTTTTTTTAAATAATTAAAGCACTACGTATATTTTAAAATTTGATTAGTTTTTGAGAAAAATTAAAACACATTTTTTTGAGAAATGATCCAAGGTGCCCCATCTCCGGGGTACCATGGGTCACTGGAGCACTGTGATGCCCATTTCTACCAATGTAGATTAACTTCTAATCTCGGTTTAACTTACTTTCTATCTTTTTCTAACTTTTAGAACTACGAAAAGATGACAGGTAAGTTGAACCAAGATCAAAATTAACCTGCGTTGATAGAAATAAACATGAGTCACACACAAAAACTAAGTTTATTTATTCAAGCAATAACAAAAAGTTACAAAAGTTGAAAAGAAATTTTATTTCATACGTTTTCTTATGAGTATGACACACTGTTCAGGATTGAGCAGAACAAATAAGATGTCAGAACTCACTATTCAAATAAATTTTTTTTTAGTAATAACTATTAGTAGTAACTTTTTTGACATGTTTTCTTCAATCAAAAATTACACATCATCAACCTATCATCACCTATCTATTTATTATCAACCTTGGTGGCGTGTGTGTCCCATGGTGCCCCGAATGCACTTAATATAAAAAACGGTAAAGCGTAATAAAAAAAATAAATAATACATGATTATCTGTAATGCAGTAAAATGGCAAAAGATGCTAGAAAGTTATCAACTCAGAATAGAATTAAAACTCGTTTGAGATGATTAAAGGTAATCATTTTGCAGAGTATTGATTAAAAACACGTGGCAAGGAATATCTGTTTTAATTTATCAACAGTTTTTATATGTGCTTTATAAAAATGTTCAATACTTATCAAAATATACAAATCATGATATATATTTAAAAAGACTGCCCAGAAAAAAAGTTGCAAAAAATGCGCGTACACATTCAGGATGGGCAAAAACAAGAGGACCATTAATAAATTTGAAATTTACGTCCGAAGTAAACACCAGCGATTCTACTTGTGTAGTTTCCTGTTAACATAGCAGAGCATATTTTGACAACGCGAGCTGCTGGTGAATTTGCGAAGACGCCGTAGCATCGTAATCGTTTACCTTGGCGACCTGAATTATGTAAGTTAGTCTCGACTACTACCTACGCCTGTGAACGTTCGTTCGTTCGTTGCGCTGTAATGTGAATTTAACCGGAACTTTGCAGACGATCTAATTAAAGAGTAAAGGACCAAAAGTACTGCTCGTTGCTGTTTTCAATATTTAGATGGAGATTTACGGCGCGAACAAATTGCGTCCATTTATTCGTACGAGATGTCCAACTTTCGATATCCTTGAGATTAACTTACGATTGAGAGTCATATGTATATATGCCATCATTTCGTAGATATAAACATTGTTATATTAGCAATAACTGAGCGCTCTAGACGGACGCTGATTAATTCGTAAGCACGACCGAGAAACTCTAAACTGAGAAATTGCATGGCACGTATACGGACTTAAAAACGATACATGTGCCGGGATCTTTATGAGAGGAGTTGCTGCGATAAGGCGACTTCGACTTAACGAATGTCGGATAATCGGTGCATAAAGCTCGGTTTAATGTTTAATGCTATCTTTAAGGATCGATCGGTTATCCGCGTAGAGCGATAATACCGTGTTCTATTTCCGAAAGTTCGACCCTTGTTATCAAAGCTCGGAGTATGTACGTACTGGGATATATTTGCTCTTCCTGAAAGGATACCTATAAATCTAAGAGAAAGCCCCAAATGGATGGGACAGTAAAAGGCAGCGTAAGTAATATGAGAGTAAACAATGGATCTGTATAACTCCAAATTGATCATAATGGGAGTAAGAGTAGATAAATGAAATTTTGCGTTAGAACTTCTATATGACAGATGGTCTCGCATTTCCAGAGAAAATATCTTTTAAAATTGAATATCAGACTCTAGCTCCTCCTACGCCTTGCTACGCTGCCTTACGACGAAAAGCACATTCGTCGAAAGAATAAGAATTCGCAAAGCTTCTTCTTCGGTCGTGAAAATATAAATTAAAGAGCTATCAGTCACGCGCGCGAAGCAAAATGATTCATAGCTCAAGTATTTTCGTTCGTGAGAAACGAAAATAGAAACTTGCGAGAAAATTTTTTCGGTTAAAGTCGCAAAAGAGAGAGAGAGAGTCAAGAACTTTTATATTCGGTCTGAGTGAACATTAGAATTTATAAGCACGGATTACTTGGCACGCCACTTGGTTCGATTTTCTATCACTGAAAGACAAAGAATACTATAAAAAAAAAGAGCAAACGGATGTTACGTTAAACCTATTCTTTCAAATTACTGTCACGCCTTACGACCGGATTGTACAACACGCCGAAATGCATACGCATACAGAATTCTTTGGTCTTTGATCCACTTTTTTCACGAAGTATCGTAAAGCCGCGCATCGTACGCTACGTCTGATGTGCGCCTTACTCTATCGGGAACATCGGAATGCTTGGAAGAAGAGAAAGAATGAGAGAAGAAACGTTATCTGTTCCTAGCAACGAAGTTTTCGTGCTTCCAGCGTATTTTTCTGTTTAGGTTATATAACCCCGACCTTACCAGAGTCGAATGTTTCGCGGAGATTACCTGTCAGAATGCGTATTTTCTACGGGCGAGTAAATTTCTTTTCGGGGTGGGCTACAAAAATATTTCAATGTGACAGGACGGTCCTCAGAAACTGAGCGTGTCACTCTTTGTCCTATATATACATCTTTGTCCTTTTAATTTAACGCAAAACTATTAGACATTTTATAAAGAATTTTGGGTTACGAGAAAAAAGTGAACATAAAATCTTGGAAATTATTATGTAATTACTATGTTATTTAATATAGTTTGTTACTGTATCCACACACACGTAATCAACAGTTGCAAACAAAATGCTAGATTATTTTTTGCATTTCTTAATACTTTTAGAAATATTTTCAAGAAATATTAAAAATATTTCTATCGGCAAATACATTAGTAAATTGCGGTAGAAAATATTTTTCACATTAGTGTTGGTCTACAACCTTGCTTTAGGTTAAATACCCTTTAAAGCAAGGTTGTAGACCAGCACTTAAGCAAACATATTCTATAGTAATTGATTTATATTGCAAAAAGCGAAACGGACAAAAGTGGATGGACATAATGATATAAATAGCCACGATAAAATAGTGTTTACTGTTCGAATGTTTTTTCAGAACACGATAGAAAATAGAGACACAGAAAAAAGAGATAAAACGTGCGCAAACTATAACGTTACTCTTATTTGACAATGAATTCTAACTTGTTTCTAAGTTCTCAAGAGAGTGTCAGTCTCTTGCGACAAGGTAAATCGTGAAATGATAGTATTATAAGTTGCGTTCTGGTACTCTATGTATTTCTCTTTGACTGCATGCAGTCACAATATTGCACCGTCGAAATTCAGTTAGCTGTATAAGCGAGTAAACTATTCTTCTTAATGCGTTATGTTTTTGTTTTTAAGTTTTTTCCACATAATGTCACACGTATGTATGTACAGAAGGCGTCATTAATGCCTTCCACCTGAAGCATAGTACATGTAACGTGCACTATAGAAATCCCAAGAACACAGCTAGGAAGGCATTAATGACGCATACTATACATGTGCTTTTTAGATCTCGATTACGAAATAAGATAGTTTCTTATATATATTTACTTATAAATAAGAATGTTTCTTATATATATTTACAATGTACATAAATAACATTGATTTTTTGTTTGATATATGATTAGACATACAGATATTATCACTTTAATCATGTGTAATATATGTTATGTGCGTACATCTATTTTTCTTTGTAAAATTATGACACTTGCATATGGATGACGATTTTACTTTCCATTTAACTTGCATTTAAATTTGTCTCTCGTATATAGATAATGTGAAACAATATATAAGACTTTCAATTACATTCAGATAATTTGAATAAAATCCTCTCTCTCTCTAATCTGTTATGATTGTTATCTGAAAAATATATATATCTTATATTATCTAATTGATAAAATTATTCCATAAATTATATAATGTAAATACTTGATAAGCTTGATAATAATCTTTTTAAAAATCACATATATGCAACTGACAGCATTATTCAAATTTGAGAACGTAATATATCGATATTTGCGATTATAATTAAAAATTTTTTTTATCGTAAAATCTATATTTTTTAAACGTTTAACAATAAGAATAATATTTGGTTGATTATATGTTTAACTGACAATATTTATTCAATTGTACAATTTCTGAAAGTCTGGAATGTACCTATAACTTCACAAGTTTGGCAAACTGTAACAACGAAGAATATCCAACTACATACGCGAATCATATTTTCGATTTCACTGGTTTCGCGCACATGGAGGAGTCCAATATGCGGAAATGTGGTTATCTCTTCGTACGACAGAGCCGTTTACCGTTTAACAGAATTCAGCCAATTACGTTAAACAAGAAGCATCTAACAAGATTTCGAGAGATTTTATATCGTCTCATTTCTTTTTCAAAACGCAGTTACTACTATTTTATGATTCTTAGTTGAATATATCCGTGGTATTTTCAACTTTACTGTGCACTCACAGCATATTGGAAAGAAAATTGTATTAAATCTTTAAAATT